CAAACAACCTCGATGAATCATCTCACAAAGAATTAACAACTAACACTTCAAGAAATTAATTAGTCAATAACCATTAGGAAGCATAATTAAGTGACCTTAATTATCCATCAAATCCAAATTCTCTAATTGGCATGCCCAATATTCAGTCAATTAATTTAATCCTATGAATCCATGTCCATACAACCTCACAAATAATTAATCACCACTAATACATAAAAGTAAATCAATCAATCTTAAGATTGATCTTGATCAAATCATATCAACCAACATTATCACTATTAAATTCTCAATTAAACCCTTAAGCATAAAAATCCCTTAAAGTTCAAGTTTTAATATTAAGACTACATCAATTGAATCGCCAATTAAACATGGGCATCAATTAACTCATCATCATTAATTCAATTAAACATCTAACCTAATAATTCCAAAGCACTTGTCATCAATCATCAAATAACATAATAATTAAATTCCCGTGGTGTAGTTAGGACTACACTTACCTTAGATTAAGCTAGCCTTTATAATACCTTAAAAGCTTGGAAAATCTCTTCTCCTTTCCTCCTTGAAACTTTCAGCCAACACCTAAGTTTTTCTCGTCTTTTTCTTTCGGCCACACTTAATAATTCTAGATAGATTTTACGGTTTTATCTTATTAATTCTTTGGTTTGGAAGGTTAGATTACCCTAGATTCATTTATTTTATCCTTGGGTTTCTTTGGTTTCCTTTCCTTTCTTCTTCCTTCGATGGTCGAATTAATCAAGATAAAATGCTAAGATTTTGCCATTTAGATGGTCATCTTTGCTTGCTTAATCTTGTTAAGTTTCTAGAAGTTTCATATTTTTCTTGTTAATTCTCTCAAGTTAGCTAAATTATTTTTCTCTCTGTTCATTAATTTTTTATTGTAATTCATGCATGAAAAATTTTTCTAGTTGAATTATTAACTCCTTTAAGTTTTTAAAATTTTTCATTTCGATCATTATACTTTATCACTAAATTCAATTAAGTCCTTAACTTTGGTCTCTAAAATTTTAATTATTACTCTCAATTCCTTATGGCATTCACATCTTTATAATATTTAATAATTTAAAATTATAAAATTAAGCACTTATTAATTCTATCATAATGCATAATAGTTAAGCAAACATGACACACGATTTGCATGTAAACCTAAAGCATAATTTTCAGATAATTACCCACATATGAATGCATAAGGAGGTTCGAGGTCATAAGTGTTATAGGCGGTGGTTGGGTGTTATTGGCGTAACCAAGGTAAGGATTGACCAACCTTTTCCCTATTATACACCCACCCACTCACTTATTTATAAATAAAACTCATCTATCACAATTCAATCTATAGAAAATATTAGAAAAAGATGAAGCACCATGAGGTTACCAAAGCATGGCCCCGATATTAGGAGTTATAGGGATTGTTGGCGATAGTTTGGTAGAGATTCTCACACTCTTCGACATACTTGGTGGTTTATTAAAATTCTATGGTGTGGCTTGATGTTCTCGCCCCAATTGTAATGAGGATCAACTCTAATGATCCTTTACTACACTTGGCTAATTATATTACGAGGTTATACAAAAGAGCGATAAAAATTCACTTTTGAAATGCGAAGTGGATAAAATCACTAGATTACAACTTTAACTCTATAGAAGATCTTCTATAACATGAGGAAGAGTTGTATAATTGTAGGAAGAGGATAGAGAGGTGGCCAGTAAATGGTGAGAGAGAGAGGGTTTAAACTTTGGATAATTGAGTTGAGATGGAGGTCAAAGAGAGATGGACTATGATTTACTAGTCTCGTGTTGGAGGAATGAGGGTGATTAGGTCATGGGTATTATCGTATTAGGTGAGAGGCATCGACTTTAGAGTTTAGACTAAAATTGAAAGAGATAGGAAGAGAGTGTTATTGGACTTGGTTATCTACGGAAGAGGTAACGACACCGACGAGATGAGTGAGTGTGTGACTTAGGCTTATGATAAAATAAATTTAATGTATTTTGTTGTTTTGTTTTTCAAAAATAATAAAATATATAAATAAATAAATAATCTATTTTCAATTTAAGCATAAATATAATTCTCAAAAATCAAACCGAACTCGAAATAATTTTAGTTTTTCAATTTTTTAATCGAATTTTTACTTAAAAGCCAAACCAAAATTGATCGGTTTGGTTCAATTCTAGTTTTTTTTTCAGTTTTTACCAAAGTTTGCTCACCCCTAGTATTTAGTCTTTTTATGCACCTTGTCAACCTTGATCCGTTGCAACTTAGCCTTATTAGTTGTTCCTTTAGGTTCAATCACATATCCATCCTTTTAAATGACAACTTCATGTTGATTACATCAAATCATACTAGAGAGTACATACTTAGCCAATCAACTCTTAACACCATATCACACTCTTCCAATTCTAAAACCCTTAAGTCGGCCTTAAATTCATGCCCCTACATAAGCCATATTAATCCTAGACTTTTGGCCGGACATTTCATTACATCACCATTAGCTATTGTCACTATGAGTGGTGTAGTCTTCTCTACCTCACCTTTGATTCGTTTCACAATTTGGTGGTTAATAAAGTTGTTAGTACTTCCACTATCGATTAAGATAATAATCTTCTTGTTCTTGCAATCGCCATTGATTTTAATGGTGTTGTTTGCATATTTTCCAACTAAAGCTTGCAAACACAATCCATATTCTTCAAAATTCCTGTCATCCAACACACAATCTTCCTCATTTCCTTCCTACATAGCTAAACATTCATCATTTTCCCTTTCATTCCTTCTATCAAATTCAATGACTTCTTAACACATTGGTGTCCAAGAGCATTCTTATCACCACACCTAAAGCATAGCCTCATCCTTTGCCTTTGGTCAAACAAAGTCATATGTTATGACTGTGGTTTTGTTAGGTTGAAACTTATAGGCTTAGGTTATGCAATTTCATGTTTAATGTAGGTATGTAAGCCTTATGGTATTGACTTATAAAAGGTTTGATGGTCTTATGGAATTGGTTTGTATATGGTCTAGAGATATTGTAGTTAAGGAGAGTTGTTGGTGAGTTTTTTATCTTTCTAAACATGATAGTGGTAGATTCCTCTTGCCATTTTGCTTGATCAAAGGCTTAGATTAAGATGGTAGGTTGCAAAATTTTTAACATAGGTTTAATGTCCAATCTAAGGCCACTAATAAAGCTAGAGATACAATAAGACTCGAAAGGTGTGAGTTACTTGCAGCCATTAATGACTTAAGTTTCTTAAATCTTTCCACATATTCTTCCACTTCCTTCTCCTAAATTAGCTTATTAAATTCCTCTATTACATCCTCTCTACTTCCAAACCTCTTGCACAACTCTCTAATAAATTCCTCTCAATTACCAAAGGCATTTTCTATCGTAAAACCTTCAAACTAAATTTATGTATGCCCTTCCAAATGCATTGGAGCTATCTCTACCCATTGGTAAACAAGAATAAAGTTCACTTAAAGAACTTTACGTATTTCGTACCTAGCCACGTGGATTCTCCTTCCAAAACACATGTAGATCCACCTTAGGAATTGACATTTTGTAAGTTGATTTGAAGAACTCAAGGATTAATAAAGGCTCCTCATTAGTTGGATGATTTGAAGCATACATTTGCTTTGGAGCTTGTGTTGCTCCTTGTGAAGAAGTTGAAGATGTTCTTGACTATTTTTCAAGTTCCTTTCAGCCATGACCGACTTGATTGTCTTTATCAAAACTTCGAATTGAAGTCTGTGTTTGTTGAGTTTACTCAACCATTTGCTTCTTAATAGCTTCGATATTCTCTTGGAACTCTTGGTGCATGTTTTGGATTTGCTCTTCCTACTTTCTACTATACTCTTTTAATGCCCTCATTCGGTTCTTGTCCACCATTGTTGAGTTGATTGGTCCCTCTTTGAGCTCGATATCAATTTGTTAAGTGATTTTTGCTTAACAAAGAAGAACTTGAAGAAAAATGGAGGAAGAAGAAAAAGAAGACAGGAGAATTTGTATTTGTTTTTTTTTTCACTTGACTGACTGAATGTCCAAGTTTTCCTTTCTCTCTCTCTTTTGTATGATTCTAAGCAATTCACTAATAGTAATTGCCAGCTCATCAAGTATTAATTATGCTAACTAATATTTCTAGCTAATGCCACGTCAATAGTTATTTGTCATACTAAGTTATGGCCCTAGCAACTAATCAACTATAAAATGTAACATGTGCCTACTGGAATCGGCAAAGCAACCTAAAGATAATCAAACTGGCTATCATTACTTCGAGAACCCGTCACTCATCCTTCTTTTTACATTGTGTGTTGTTTTGTGTTTATCTCGTTGACTTATTGCTGTATTTGTTTTCCAACATTTTCTATAACTATCAATAGTAATTCCTATGAGTATTTTAAAAAAATTCATATATATCATGGAATGATAAGATAATTCACTTTTCCTTTTTGTGGAATTTTTGTGCATCTTCTAAAGAATTTTTGTTTCATTTTACGAAAGTAATCAAATTTTCATGTAAAAAGGATTATTGAACTCATATGACTGGTACAGAAAGAAACTTGTTCTCAAGCTTTTGGTGTGTGAAACATGATTAGAATTACTGCCATCGTTTTCTAAAAATATGCCATATTTGAAAGAAAATTTATGGTTAAGTGATATTGAACTGCTTTTATTTTATTTTTTTCCCAATCACAATGGACTACAACGCTTGGGGAAGGAACAAACTCAGCTTGCATTTCTCTTTAGATGTGTGGCTATCAACTTTGCTATGTTTTCAAATCCAAACCAGTATCCGTGACAATCATATTTGAGGTAAAGATTGTAAGAGACATGGGAATAAGATCTTCTCCATTATTGACCTTCTTATGCGACTACAGACTAGGTGACAACACTGAAAGCTCAAAAGGGCTCGGTAATGTCAGATGAACAGTACAAGGATACAATCTAAAAAGAATACCAACACCAGAAGTTCAAAGTTACAGGAGTTCATCTTGCAACTCAATTGCTATCATCCACAACTTGATTGTTTACAAATAGATTCTCCCTTCTTTTGGCGAAACCTGTTGATTCCAGGGCTGGACCCCTAAATTTTAGCTCTGAAGATGCTCTATAATTGGGATCAACAGAAGTAGGTCTAGTGTTGGCATCGGTAGAACTCGGCCTGAAGGAACTGGTTGCTCCCCCGGGAAATCGCAAAGGAGAAGGGTATCTCCTTGATGGACCTCTCAATCCACCAGCCCTTATTTCCATCATATCAGTACTTCTTGAAGATGAATCTACAAATGACCTGTCTGCAGAGGCTGATGACCCTAATGGAGCTCCAGTTGTAGCAGATGTGGAGCTAAAAGGATCGTCAGACCCCCACAATGTAAGTGATTCCTTCTTCTTGGCAAAGAATTGCCATGCTCCAAACAGAAAGAGTATGAAGAACAACACAGGACTTGTCCATAGCATTGTGTTGAATTCTCCTTTGAATATTGGAAGGTTAGAGCGATACATTCCCACATACCCGCTCCCAAGGCCAAGAATAAGAAGTTTTTCACGGTCACTGGCAATTAATGGTATCACCCTTCTACTCTCAATGTGTGCATCTGTCAACTGATAATTCAAAAATGACGATTTGATCTCATCCAGACCAGCAGAGAAGAGAAGGCGAGGTCCTCCAACCCTAACATAATGCTGAGATGAAACATTGTACACAAAAACCTTCTCTTCATTAACAACAAACAAGTAGCCCTTGATGGACTGTAAAGCTAGGGGTTCATCCATGTCAAATTTTCTCTTGGATCTGACCCTACATTTGAAGTTCATTATATCGCCTAACAACAGTACATGAATCAATTCCCCTTCTGATGTAAATCCATATGCTTTAGACCTTTCGGTGGCATCAAAAACATAATTCCGAGCAAGAGAATGATTCAAACCTTCACATTCAGATTCTCTGACTTTCATGCTCCTCAAATCTAATGACCCTGCACCACTTTCTGTCAAAAACAAAAGCCTTTGCTTCAAGAAGGCAAGTGGCCTACTTGTTGGCATGGCAGAACCATGAAGCGTCCCATTTTCCCTAAAAACCCTAATCATCCCACTAACATCTGATGACAAGATATACCTTGATCTACCGACATGGTGCACTTCCAAAATACTAATCGGTGAACCCTCTTCCCCATTCTCAAGAAATGCAAACTTGCCTACACTTTCCATAGAAAGTGTGCTCCACTCTTCTCCGTTTGACACATCATAAAGTTTATGCACCAAAATCGCACCACTCTGATGCCCTGTTACCACAGTACTCTCGTTCTTATAAGCCGATAAATACGAAACCATTGCTGTAATTGGTGAAGAGGACATTGTGTATAGCTCAACCACAACATCCCCATTCCTCAAAAACACATAAACCCTCCCTCGATCATCACCAACAGCAACATACTTACTAAGCCCCTCGTAATCTCTAAATGGCAAAACATTAATACACGTTGCATCAGAATCTAATTTCACAGCAGACACAAATTGAAACCTCTCTGACCAAAATGGACTGTACTTTGTAACAGAAACAGCCCTCACTCTCTCTCCACCTCTAGTATTAGCCTCGAATCCCTCTTCTTCAACTTTTTGAACCAACATCTTACCCTCAAAATTTCCCTGATTGATCCTTTCTGGCTCTTGATTTTGTTCCCTATCAATAGATGTTACTTTTGGTAACTCAGATAATTTAGGCTCTAATCTAGCAACTATTTCACTGAGGTTCCTCACTAGCTGTTCAAGTTTATGTAATAAAACTTCGTGTTGATTAAGCTCAATTCTAGTGCCAGTCTCATGTTCTTGATAAGGAGCATGATGAATATCCTGCTCAAGCTCTTGTTCGGTTGAGACTGAGCTGTCTGCCAAAATTCTAGATGGAGAACAAGAAATGAAAAGCAAATAGAGAAAAAACAAAGACTTGCCTTGGTGAGTATCTGCCATTTGAAGAAGCTTTGACAAAGTTGTGTATCAGTATGTTGCTGTTGACATGGTACAAGGGAATTGCAGATCTTTGGTGTTTGGATCTAAATATTTTAGGAGATTTAGCTGGAATCTATGCTAGATTTGATAAATCGTAAGCGAGAGAAATAGATATTTTGGATCAGAAGAAAGAAGTTTTTTTTTTTTTTCTTTTTTACTTTTCTTTTTTAGGTTCTTGACTTGGGTCTGTACGCTGTTAGGGCAAGAAGCTCGGTTTTTCAGGTGAAATTACTTGCTCTCATATCTATAGTAATTGAAGGAAATGATATAATCAGGTCGGTCTGATTCTAAGCTTCCACTGCCCAATCATAACTAGACACGTTGGTGATATTAATTTTATTGCTAATTTTTCTCCTATTGAAAAGAAAAGACAGGGAGTACCTCGTTTAGCTGGTAAACACAGCTTAAAACGCACCTAAGTATGCCGTCTTGGACCCTTAGCAATCACTCTTTTCGCCGCTTGGGACTGGTGGAAGAATAATGATATACTTGAGCAATGCTAATTTTACAGAAAACAATTTCCAAATCAAAATAATCTCATCGATAGGTTCTACAAAGTCCAAAGATAGAGATCTTCCGGGAAGTGATTTCAGGAAAGTTTTTCTGCAAGATTATGCACAACCAAGATGAGGATTAACCTTTTAAAGGAAAGGTTTCGCGGTTTCTATATTAGGATCTCTTAGCTCTATCGATCAAGATTCAAGAACAAATGAACAATTAACAACGAACGTCAGCAATCCACCAAAACACTTCTAAATATAGCGTACTTTGTTAGGAGCAAAATCTCGTATAGTGTACTACTACCATTTATGATCATTCCGACAAAAAAGAGACTTGCTTTCCTCGCAAAAGCCAGACGCCTCCTTCCTCTCAAGGGTTCACGTCTCCAATCCATGCACCATTTGTTAATGTAACCTGTAGTCTAGCATATTATAGAGAAAGTATGACAATTTGGCTAGTATTTATAGCATTTTGAAAAGTCTACAAAATATTAAATCATTATATAGATCGTAAGCTTTTTTTTTATTATAACCTTAATTATTCATTCTATAAATAAAAACATCTTTTGTATTTTTAATCACTACTTAATAAAATTCTAATAAAAACTCCTTATTAAACCAAAAAAAAAAAAAATACAACTGTCAAACTACTTAAATTTTTAACTTATGTGATTATTCTTGTCTTTTTTTTTTTTATTCGTTTCCTAAACGCCGTCGGAACTCGGAGAACTGATTTTATCTGGACAGGTTTTGCTCGTAATTTGTAAACCAACCGTGTACGGAAGTTGGAACATTATCTAGGGCAAACCTTTCCTTATCTCATACAAGAAATTCATATATCTTCTTGGATCCATGTATTCGTCATTCAGTTTGGTAACAGAAGTACAGAACACACGGTCACATCCTTTCATTTAAGGGAAAAAACGATAGGCATCCCTCATGAAAGACCGCCCAAAAGCAATTTGAACATTGATTCACAACAAAGTTTGCTATATTTGCATTTCAAATACAGTCGAAAGAAAGAAAACTTCTAGGTAGTTAATGGAAAAGAGTGAACTTGTCTGCCAAAAATAGATGCATCACATGATTTATCAAAGCAACCATGGCGAATTCCTAGGGTTTTCTAGTATTTTACCAAAGAAGACTGAATTGATCAACGTCATCCACTCAGCATTTAGTATCCAGTGGTAGCATAATCTCAAGTAATAGTCTGTACAGTTCTTATAGATAACCTGGGTTCTTTCTTTCTCTGATTCTGGTCCAATTTGAATGCAGCATATATGGCTTCAACTTGGCCAGCCATAGTATTACTATTGTGGTGGCTAGATTGCAGAGAAGGGCACCTTAATATCTCATGTAGTGACGGACCGGATTTTTTTTCTGCTGCAGTTTGTGTGTTTTGAGTGCTTGATCTAATTTGCGAGCCACTGAACTTGGCCGATGCAGTTTTCTTTGGTCTATTTTCTCTCTGGATCTGCAAGTCAGATAAAACAAATAAAATTTACAGAGATAAACAAACAAAGACGTGTTTTATCACTGCAGTATCAATTAGGTGAAGATCATGCTAAAGAAATTGAGTTGAATTTTCCAAGTTGGATTGTAGTAACTTTAAATTATAATTAAAACAAGTTTTACTTTCGTTCCAATTAAAACTGAAGAACCCCCTCTCCGTTCTCACTTTATATAAGGTAACCAATGGTAAAATCTGAATCGACCCAAGAAAGTAAAATCAAACAAATAACTTTTTTAGAAAAAAGGAAGCAAATTATGATAAATTTTTCACTTATTTAAAGCTTTGCAAACTTCATGATAGAGCTTACCAAATTCGAAGAATCCTCTTGCATTGAGATTGCACTCCTGCTATTGCTGTCATCTCTTTCAAAGACAAAAGAACGAACCGTGCCTAATCCATGCTTCCGGGATGATGGCAGGGAATTTTTTGACCCCCGCCCTAGAAAAGATGACTGCAATATCATCCAATGGAAAATTATCGTCAGTGGCATCCCCAAGTTAGAAACATCTACTCAATTGACATTGGTTTGGTCACATTTGTCATATTCATTAAGGAGTAGGGTTCTTCTGAGCATAAGATGCACCATCGACAGCATAGACACCAAGACGTAAAATGTGACAGCAAATTCTTATCAAGTGATATCAACAAAGTAGTACACACGAACTTGACATGCAATTTTAACATGAGCTAGCTTGCTTGCTGGAGCAGGGAGAGGTTAAAATGACCACTCAAATTGAATAACAAATGTGCAGGCTGCAGACATCTATCACACTGCACACCACTGCTACAACGCAGAACTGATAGTGGTGTGTTTGACAAGAGAAATGATATGCATTTGAAGTAGAAGAGCTGATCGTGAATGAATTCAAGACATCCAATCAAAGCAAACCATTTACCTTTGACGACATATTCCTATTTCCTGCTATGGATGGCATATGAAAATAGGCTGCAAAATAAGCATAGGGAATATAAAATCAGAACCACACAAGTAAAACTGAAACTCAGTTTTGTGGAAGCAATGAATCAATAATTTGGATGATATATGAAAAATCATAAAAACAACAGCAACAACCAAGTGTCTATTCCAAACAAATTGGGATCAGCTATATGGATCCTTCTGAATCATTCTGCATGATAATATACCAAATCCACCTCATATCAAGAGACTAACATTTAATAGATCATGCATAAGAAAATATGAGATCATACATGTTATCTTAGCTTTCTTCCTAGTGTCAAGCACACCATTCAGCTTCTTTATAAGACCGAATATTTCTTTGGAGCCTTCAGCCTCTGCTGGTGACAAGAATGTAGCCCGTTCTTCCTGTTTCAAATCATGATTAGTTACCATCTTGCAATTGAAACTATAATATTCAGAAGAAAAAAATCATAAAATCATATTAAACCTATGGGCCAGAAGATCTGTATCAGCAGAGTTGGAAGAATATATATAATCACAACTCTTGAGAGATCATGTCTATAGATCTGCTAAGAACTCACAGCTTTATAAGAAAGTTGCTCCTTAACAAGCCTAGTTTCTGTTTCCTCGTCATCAGATGATACATATACATCATCCTTATCTGTGAACATTTGAGAAATCATTTCCTTCGCTTTCTTTAAGTTCATCTGAACAACATTTCTTGTAACTTCTGCGGCCTCGTCTAGAAACTCCTCTTCATCTTCTTCGGCTTCCTCATCTTCTTCGCCTTCATCTTCTTTCTCTTCAAGCAAAGTTGTTTCCATTGGTTTAGAACTGCATTTCAGTCTCCGCAAAAGATTTTCTGTTCCATCAGCATCCTGTTGCTCAAGCCACTTTTGATGAAGTTGATTGCGGATTTCATTATCAACGGGCTTTTCTTTGTAACCAGTTGCTATCATATCATTAAGTTCCTCGGATTCTAAGTCATCCTCATCTTCATCAGAATCTTTGAATCGCATTAGATCATTATCACTGTCATCTTCCACCTCAGCTTCTTCATCGATAAAAGCTTTCATAGGATCACCAATTGGAGATGATGATGGATCAGCCAGCTCATGTGAGCATGGATCAATATTCTCCTTATCATTGTCCTCTTTGTCAGAACTACATAACAAAAAAGTAACAATTGCACTTTTAGTAGTAAGCTATAAAATAATCAGTTTTTACAAGGCAAGCTACACAATTCTAGATATTTTCTAGAAATTTTTTTTTTTTTTTTTTTTTTACTATCGGTAAAAAACAGAAAGAAATGCACATGCCTCAGAACACATTGATAGAGAATGTACAGATTGCTTGAAGAGCTAGAAACAAGGATTGATTCAAGGGACATACATTAGTAGATAAAAACATTTGTCCACTTCCTTTTAGCAATCAAAGGTCTATAAATATGCTTATGGTTGTTAAAGATAATAAGATGCTTGTAACAGAAAAGGAAGCAAAATTTTAGGACATACAAATCGTTAGGAGGAGCAGAATCAAGCTTCAAGTTCATTGCAAATAAGGGTGGTCCTTGAACTTCTTCCATAGGACTGCTGGGCAGATCATCTCGCATCTCATCTTTGGAGGCAATTGTTTGGGAATCAAAACTCAGATCCTAAAACATGCATGTTAAAAGACAATTACCTACTGAAACTCCATTTAAAGAGTGGCAATCACAAAGCTAAAATGCGAGAAAAACCTGAGTATCATCAACAGGAGCTCTAAACGTTTCCTTTGACTCCCCATTTAAATCCTGCAATTCAACAGATTAACTAGAGCTATATGTACAAGCCAGTTAAAAATGCTAAAACTTGATAAGAGACGCCCCACCCAATCAGTACCAATTAAATTCATAGAGTAAATGTGACATCTTTAACTCACTTTCTGGGAAGCCATAGTTTTAGGACTGTGATTTGCAGTACTCTTGAATCCTTCGCCACTCAAGAAATCTAAACAGATCTTGGAATCAACAGGATTCACAGTTGTTTCACTGTCTGTTCTTGCAACCTTTTGAACTTCTATGTCCTCAATACGATCATTTTCAAAATCACAATCAAGTATAATTTCTCTTGAAAAAGCATCACCACTGTCATTAAAAGAACTTCTGTTTACATAAACCAATCTGCAAAACAAAAATAGAATAGTGAATCAACTACTACTTTTATTAAAAAAAAAAAAAAATCCTCACAAAGTCGAATCAAATAAAATATAACTCACGTCTTCGAAACCTCACGCTTCCTTTGCCGAATCTTCTCTAAAACAGAAGATACAGGCTTTTGAACAAGCGGCACTGGTTTAAATGATATTTCTCTGGTTTCTAAACACATTAAACACACAAATCAAGAGTTATTAAAGCATCCAAATAGTAACTAGGGTTGAAAAATAATTAATTCCTACCTCTTAACAATCTCTGAGATTCAGCACGGAGTTCCTTAAGAAGCTCTCTTCTTTCCTGTTCAATTAAAATCAACTATATATAATCCATCAAAGAAAACTGAGTAAAAAAATCAATACCAGTACAACCACAATACACACCTTTCCTCCCCTTCTTTTGTCCGTACCAACCGAAAACGGCTCATCTCCGTAACCATCGCAACCACTCTTTGATCTCTTCTTCTTCTTCTTCTCTTTCTGCTCCTCCAAACCATCAAAATCAGGTAGTTTCTTGTACAATTCCTCCTTAGTCCTAAAATCCTCAATTTCCTCTTCCATTCCTTCTCCATTGAATAATTCCTCATCCACGGAATCAAATTCCAAAGTTCTCTTAACACCGGTTCCACTTTCCTCATTTCCCAACCCACTAAAACCAGAATCCAAATCGTTTCCCTCCTCTTTTTTTCCAAGTGACCAGATTCAGATCTCAAAATTGGTTCGCTAAAATCTTTCCCGATCTGTTCTTCTGCATCTGAGGTTTCAAAATCAGGGGAGTCAGTTAGTTGTATGGAAGGTGAAGGTGGAGTGTCGTTCAAAGGATTAAGGAGTGGATCTTTAGAGACTTTGGCAGTATCAGTGGCTTTTTTAAGACGTTTGAACTTTCTTTCAGGGAGCGGAGAGGATGGCTTTTCGGTATCTGAGAATGAGAGGAATTCTTCGTCGCTGCTCATTCTCTGTTGAAATGTTTGTCGATGGAGGAGGAGAGGTAGGGTTTTATTTACCTGTTCTTTACTGGAAATGGAGGGTGAGTTTCTTTGTTAGAAAGATCGGGATCTGATTTAGGCGGCAAATGTTTCAAAAATTTAGGATTTTGTGATTTTGAACCGGGAAAATTAGCGGCTTCTGGTTTGAGTGTGAGATGGGACCATATGCAGCGTCGACTACACTATTTGTATGGACTCTGGATGAGGAAGGAAATTGGTCGGCTTTTTGAAATGGACATTACAAGTCCGAAGCGAACAAGAACCCAACCCAGGAGCACTTAAATTTAGAAGTAGTTTGGTTATCATAAATAAAAGATTCGAAATAAAAATATAAAAATTTAAATAAAAATTAAGAAATTATAGGCTTTGTTTATTTAACAAAAAATAACTTTTATAGAAAAATTAATTAATTACTGAAGAAGCTATTTTTCAAGAAACTATTTTTTAAAAAAATATTTTCTATCCTTTAGCAATTACATGAATAAACTACTAAAAAATATATTTCAACGTTTGTTTGATACAAAAAAATTAAAATACAAAAATAGTATGTGGTTGTTACATCAATGAGTTTTGAGAAAACTTCAAAAGGACACATTCACAATTTCACAATATAATATGCATTTATAAAAATTTAATAAATTTTTATAAATACGACTCTAAAATTTAAATTCAAAAAAATAAAATATACTTTTTCAACTATCAAACCAATTCATCAAAATTACTTGGGACAAAATCAAGTCAATATTCACATTTAGTAAAAAAAAATTCTAAGTAATCCTAGCATTGTTATTTTGGTAACACAATTAAGAATTTTTTTTTTTTTTTTTTGAAAATTGAAGTGATAATTTAGCTAAAAAAATATTTTTATAAATGACTAGTTATTATTTATAGATAATTATTCATTTGGTTTTAAAATATTAATATTAGAATAATTTGTAACTAATTATTCAATATAATTACCAATAACATTTTACAACTGATTAAAATTACAAATTATTGATTTAGTTACAAATGAATAGTGCTGAAAAAATAATGTATTTATTAATGAATTCATTAATTTTAAATTTTTCACAAATAATTGTAGTCTTGTAATAATCATTTCCAATCATTTAAGTAAAGTTTAGATGGTGTTTGAGATAATAGTAAAAAAAATAGAGATAAATTATTGAAATAAATAATGTTAAGATGTAAAAATTGTTTTTAAGAATTTTTAATGTATTTATAAATCAAAAAAAATCAAATGTTAGTAGAAATAGAGAAAAAAATTAATTAAATAATTAATAATAATTGATAAGAAATAATTAAAAATTAATTTGATATATTTTAAATAAAAAGAAGATAGAGAAAAAATTATTAAAATATATCAACGGAGAAGTAAGTAACACGAGAGTGAGATAGCTCGTGAGATAGAAGGAAAATGTTTTCCTCTTTTTTAACTCGGAAAACATTTTTTTCAAAAATACTCTATCATTTTCCGTTAACTTTTTTCCTAAACGCGAAACAAACACTAGAAAATGAGGAAAACAAGCTCCCGAAACTTGTTTTTCTCCAAATAAACACAACCATGATAGCATTTGTATTTTCATACTCGTGTTTAGAATAATAATGAGGAATCGGAATTTAAGTTAAATTTTTTAATATCTTATGTTTTATACAAATAAAAACAATGGTTAAAAAATAATTTTATCAAACTATAATGGTTGTAAATATAATAAAGATAGTGGTGTTGGTGGTAATTTTATTTTGCCTAATTTAATTTTAGCTCATTTTCGGATAATTTGATCTTGCAATTTTATTTTATGCATATCTCTCTATTTTCTACTTAATTTTTGTTTAATGTTTTGAATTTTCTAGAATTTGTTTAGTTAACGTTTAATTTTAAGATTTATCTCAATAATTAAATTAGATAACTAATAGGTGGATGAATTATCGAATCTTCTAATTTCTAGGGACTCATGATGATTCCCTATCACCACCACCACCAACAACAACAAAATTGAACAAAAGAAAAAATAAAAATATATAGTAGGAAAAATACAAAAAAAAAAGAAAAAGAAAATGTTAAAAAAGGGAAATAGAAAAAGAGATGTTAAAAAAAGAAAGATAAATATATAATAGCTAAAAAAAGGGAAAGAAAAAATAAAAAATGTCAAGGAAAAATAACAAAGTCTTCTATATAGTAAGAAATGATGTTAACCAAATAAACCACTTTAGCAGACTAGATTTTTCTCCGACATATCGGTTATTTCGAGATTTAAAGTGGATCCGATGTTGAACCGACATGTCTCCCGATAAAGGAATCCAACGATCGATTCAATATGATGTCACAAACAAAAATAAAACAATTAATTTGGCATAGAAAATAAAACTTGGAATTTTAACTAGGATTAATCATGGCGAAAATAGAAATTTTTAAGAGATGAAACTTTAGAATAAATTAGACTTGGTATCTTTTTTAGGAAATGATGTTTTTTGATGATTAATATCTTTTCAAAAGCATAACCAACACCTTATCCTATAATCGATGTACTAGTTCATTTTAGATTCCTAATTCCTTTAATACTAGGTTACGACTCCGAAATTAGTAAATAACTCATATCTCCAAATAAACAAGATTTTTTACAAATAAAATAAATCTTAAATACGTTTTCGAAGTCCTATCAAGAGTCGGGTGGCGACAGAGGGTATGCTTATATGAGTTTTTTTTCCCTAAACGAGTACTTTTTAATCTATTTTTCCAAAAACAACATTTTAAATCTTATTTACTAAAAGAGGATAGTTTTTGCCATGTTAGCATCTTAGTCATCTTTTTAGTTAAGTGGCTACTATATAAATTTAAAATAATAATTTTTAAAAGTTAGAAACAAAAAGGAAAAAAGAGAGAGAGAGAGAACTTACTCTCTTTCTTTTGCTATTTTTTTTCCTAATTTCTTAAAGTCCAAATACTCTCACAACTTAAAATCATAATTACTAGAAAAGTTTTTTAGCATATGAGTACTCTCAATTAAGTTAATTTTCTAAATTCTTTTGCTTTTATTTATTTAATTTTGATAAATTATGAACCTACAATACACCCATTGCTAATACACAATGAATATATTGTGTGCTCATTATTAAATCATGTATATGTTGTTCTCTTCTTAGGAGTTAAATGTATGTACCTTAAAAAAAAAAGCCAAATTAATGGTATTATCCTGGTGTAATTATTGTAGAATTATGGAAGTCATTGTAGGATGGAATTCTATAGGATTTTTTTTTGGTGTTATTGGATTTGTTGTTTTTCCTTTAACGAGTTACTAGTTGTATATCACATATCATGGTATCCGATACACTCGGGAAAGATTTCTAAGGAATAAGGATCTTAACATGTTTTTTTATAAAAAGAAAAAATAAAAAATGAAGGATAAAAAGGTTGGAAAAGAATTGCAGCGATTCTTTATTTTGAACAAAAGAATATGGTGTAATTCAGACTTTGCCTTAAGTAAAATGAACCATCGATGGCATGTTGTACCATCAATAAATTAGTGATTTGTATTTATCCTTATAGAGCTTTCAATCACGACTATGTAATTAGGGCAAGTAAGGGTCCAACCTACAAGGAAAGAGGCTCAATTGATCTTCTTTTTTTTTTTTTTTTTGTGGAGTGTTCTTCCGGTGTAAAAAGAGGGTTTCGTATTTAGAATGCTTGAAAATGAATAAAGTATATTGAAATAACAATATTAAAAGAATCTTGGTTAAACTTCAATATCCACTATTAGCTTGATCATTGATCATCGATTAAATAATTAACTTATCCTAAACATGAATATTCATCGTAAGACAATGACATATATGTTGTCCTTAGTATTTTCTCACATAGTCGTTAACCGAATATACGATACCCGATTAATTCCCTAGCTACTGAACAACCTACTAAGCATTAGATAAATTTAATCTAATAACCACATTAATCGGAGAAAGACGAGATGAAGCCAAGCCACCTTTCAAAGCGCTAAAGAAGATGTAACATAGTTCTATATTTTTTTAAATGAGTAAACTAAAACATGAAAAATAATCATCAACTCTTAGTTACTACCTCGAGCAAGATTAGACAAGCAATTACATGGACTTGAATACTTAACTAGCAATAAGTTCATATGATCAAATAACTAGCATGGACTCTAATCAATTTAATTATACAACTATAAACCAATAATACAGAAAAAAATAAAATACCTAAACAAGATAAGTTTATAAATAAAACTCATATTCTCATGGTAATTAACCTAAAGCTTCAACTTAATTCAACCAATAATAGAATATAGTTGCTCACGAGTGAGTTACAAAGAGAGAGTTTTCTATCAACAGGTGGTTGTTTAACATGGAAATCTCAAAATAATGTCTTAGCTTCACTATTTCTAGTAAAAACTAGGGTTACATCACATAAGTGTCGATCCCACATAGCCATACGGGTTATTAAATAAAGTTACATTATTTGTCGCTTAATGTTACCCGGTTTAGAGCCTTGAAGAATTAGTATTACATGGTTTGCTCACTAGAGGCACAAGGTCATGTGCCTCTATTCTTCATTCCGTGTTACTTTTTTACCGACCGTGTAAAATTTTGTCTTTAAGCCATTTTGAATCTCTTCTCGCCCATGTAAACTTGTTTTACTTGTGAGACACAAGCATGTGACTTTTCACTATAAACCATGTGTAATATCTACTACCCATATTGTCTTCTTTTCTCTTAGATTCCGCTAGGTTGAGACACACACACACCTGTTGTATGGGATTTCTTCTTTTGGCCGTGTGGAATGCTACCGCTCATGTGGCTTTTGTTCGTCGAGCAATCCACACCGTTTCGTCCTTCATGTCACATGGCCGGTAACTTTTTCCTTTATAGTTTCACATAGCCACGTGACTTTTCTAAACGTCTTTGGTGACTTCTCTTTTCCTTACTTTGGTTTTGGGTTTTCTTATTTTGAT